TAGAAAGTGCTCTGATACCATAAAATGTAACACCTCTTGTATACCCGGTTTGTTAACGTGTCATCGTATTAAGCCACACTTAATTTAAAAATGCGGAATATCTTTTTCTTTTCAATTCTGACGTGATTATACTTATCCAAGTTGATTACTTAATCACTTCCATAAAAACATCGCCTGCATGTACATTGCAAATAGACATCTAACTGAAATACCTCAATATATAGATATTAATGTGAGTATCTAAGTCACGGAACTACAACACGTAGTCCGGACCATAATCCTGATACATTAATACAACTCGAATCTAAAATAAAACATAGTCAATCAATGCGGCATGGACAATCTCCATGCTCACCAAATAAGGCAACAAAGCCCAACAAGTCTCAACAGCCACAACATAATAATAAAGCTAACAGCAACATAGCAACAGACATATCCATCATCCAAGCATAATCATCATAAAGCAAAAATATCAGCTAAGCTCCGGCCTCCTGCCGCTAGAGGTCTCAACCCCCGCATTACCTGAACCTGAAATAGTGCCCCAAATGTGGGGTGAGATCTCTAAACATAAATCTCAGTAAGATAAGGGGTCCTCAAGGATCTTCCACCCCAAGCTCACTTACATGTGCAATATAAGTTCCAAAAAATAGTAATTCAATATAAGTTCCAAAACTATGCAGTGCAACAGATATTCATGCCATGTGTGTTATAACTATTCTATTGGCCAGAGAAATGCAGGATATACATACGCTTACAACCTACAATAGTATAAGGAACATCGCTTGCACCTCACCCACAGCCTCACCATCTTGTATGTCCCCACATACTCAGGCTTACCGTATAGCTGGAACACCACATGCATATCATAAATGCACTCGCATATAACAACTCAATAGCATTTCAACAAATCAGTATATCATCAAAACAACATCATCCATATAACCATCCCCCCATGGGACATGGTGGAACCAACAATGGCTAAACCGAGGACACGAAAGCTTACCTTGCAAGCTAACTATCCAATGCCAAGAGTCCACACTAGCTCAAAGTCCAAACACAGCAGAATCACAATCTGTTATGGACCAATTAACATATCAATAATCATACTCTACAAGCATACATCATAAAGACAACGCCTTTCCTTTACGTTTTACGTCTTTAGGCTTCCCACAAAGCCACAAGCCCTTAATCTCTTAGATTCTGACTTAGTTTAATTATTACAGAAGTCCCACTTCCTCAAACTAGGGTCCAAAAACCCATAGCTCAGTTTTGTATGAACAGTACAGCTACTGTTCTTCGCAAACCCAGAATATCCGGATATATGTGGGTGGCATATACGGATATCCCATATCCGGATATCCGAAGACCCCATATCCGGATATCATATCCGGATATCATATTCGGATATTTCGCGACAGAATGCAGTTTTGCATTTCGCAAGATAGCCTTCCCAAAGGTGGTCCATTTCATGCATACATAAGCTCAAACATGCGATTTAAGGTGTGTTTAACATTACCCAACCTTAGGTTATCAAATTTAGCTCATTACATGTATCAAGGTTCCATTTTTGACAAAGAAAACTCAATGACAAGGGTGATGATCATACCACAAGCTCAAAACAGAGAAAGAAGGTGCTCTTGGAGCTCTCACAACAGCTCCTAAGGTCAGACTTGCAAGGAGAACGAAAATGCCAACAAAGCTTGGTCCTTTCTTCACAAAGAAAGCTTCTTGAAGCTTCCAATGGCATGAACAATGGCTCACACCAAGGGACACACGAACTCAGCCCCTCAAGTCCCACCAACTCTTGCCTATGTCAAATCGTTCACATTAGAAAAGCTTAGTGCTAAGAGCACCAAATGCTTGTTTGTGGGGCATCTTAAGGGAACTAACAGATACTACTTCTACTCCCCTGAAGACCAAAAGGTGTGTGTCCAAGAATATTGAGTTCTTTGAGAAAGATCCACATGAACAAATAAAAGGAACTCAAGTGTGTTACCCTGCCAGAGCCCATTGAGAGGGTAGTAAACACATAACTACGCTAGTTTAGTAGGGTTAGTTGACCACCTGAGAGGTATGGTTTTGTGATTGAGAATCAACAAATCTTTGATGATGACGAGCCTAGTAAGTATAAATACCCAAAAACACAAAAAGAGATAACAAAAGTCTATACTATTGTCTCAATCTTTTTTTTGGATACTATCAACCCAAAAACACATGATTACAACGGGCTTAATTAAATAATTGATCAAATAAAAATATTATTAGTTTGAATATTTTGAAATACTAAAATATAATTAATTAATAAATTTCACATATTAGAAAAATTCTATCGATAATAACTTTGTGTCTGTGCTTGGAGGCAATGTTGTCAAACTCGAGTTTCTACGTAAAAATGGAAAGGGGTGGTAGAAACGTAAAACGTAGAAACGACACAAAACGTAAAGTTTCTACTTTCTAATACTTAAGGTCAAGATACAAAATAATATATGCATGTAAAAAAATATATCACATAATGAACATATGTGTTGAGCCCCTTATCTATCTAAAAAGGAAAATTATTTTTGATAACTGATGAGTCTCCAATTTACTATGTATTAAGGGTCAATATGAGTGTAAAATTGATTTAAAAGTAATTAAAAAGTATGAGAATTATTTATTAAATTGTTATTTTATTCTCAATAATATTCTCATAAGATTTCTGATATTTCGCAGTAATTTCAGCTCAATAAAGAGATAATTGGAGATATCAAATAGAGTTGCTTTGAATTTCTGAATCATTGAAGATTTTATCAAATCTTCCTTTAAATATTTTTAAGGAAAATTTTCCATTAAATTAAAAAGAGGAAGATTTGAAGGATTTGGTCAAAGATATGATTAGAGATTCTAGTGAAGATTCTATTGAAGATTTGATCAAGATTTCTAAGCAAGGCATAAACTCTATAAATAGAGACTTAGACCCCAGGAAACAACAATCTTTGGCTGGAGAGAATTCTTGGAGGCTCACGCTGGAGATCAGGATTCCGACGGAGAAGAAGACCAGATATCTTCTTCTTCTTCTTCTTCTTCTTTATTGCTTTTATGAATTCTTTTTATTCTTTTAATTTGTTTAAGCCAGCTATGTCTGGCTAGTTTGTTTTTGTAGTTGGGATCACGGACCCAATGTGAATCCTTTATAATTTCTGTATTGATATTTTATAATTTAATTAGTTAGTTTGTTTTATTCTACCTAGTTTAATTTTTCATTTCCTGTTTAGAACTGATCACTCTAAATTATAGGGCTTTGAGGGTTATAATTCACAATAGACATATTAGGGTTTTAATCTGGACAAGGGTAGAATAACAATTTTTGTATGATCTAGACATAGGCTTACATAAATTGCAGACTCATAATTCATTTGCATAATGCTTAATTCAAGAGGAATTACTAAGACATTAGAATTCTGATTGGGTTAAAGGGTTGAAATCACTAAGACATTATGATTCAACTATTTTACAGGGAAATAATGAATTGTCTGAACAAATGAATTAATTAATTATAAAATACAATATAGGAATATAAGGGAGGATCGAAGGTGAAGTGCATCCTGGTTACATACTTTTTATAAATTTTTCATCAATATTTTCTCGCCTTCTTGATATTTTCTTGCATATGTTAAATTTAATTGTTATTAATTTTCTGTTTTAAATTGTTTTTAAATTCTGTTTTGAAATTCCAAAATCAATCACTTTTTCAACTCAACCAAATTTTCTCTTCTAACATAAGGGGAATAATTAAATTAATACTTGGTGCATTAATCCTCGTGGGAACGATACTCTACTTATCACTTTATTACTTGAAACGAACGGTATACTTGCCGATTCACAACAAGTTTTTTGCGCCGTTGCCGGGGGTGGCTATGGAAACATGTCGAACGGTGGTAGGTTTTGGCTGGGGTTGGTTGCACGGTGATGGTGAGAAGATGGGTGGGGGCTGTGTGGTGGTGGTTGTGGGTTGTTGAGTGTGACTTGGTGTGGTGGCCAGCGGCGGTTCAAGGTAGGGCTGTGGTGGTCTTGGGCGGTGGTGTGGCTGTAGATGTTGTGGGGGAAGATGGATGAAATAAAATAAAAAATAAAAAAAATAAAAAATTCCAATCTCAAAGATCGAAAGTTAAATTTAATATTGGCGTAATTAATCCCCGGCCCCCACCCATCTTCTCACCATCACCGTGCAACCAACCCCAGCCAAAACCTACCACCGTTCGACCTATTTCCATAGCCACCTCCAGCGACCAGCACCAGACCACCACCTACCACCGCTCGACCACTCCTTCCTCACCAATTTCAGCCAACCACCACCGCCTAACTCCACCTCCCACAACCGGTTTGAACCACTAAGATCCATCCATAAATTACCCCCAACCTCCAACGATCAACCACTTTCCCCCTCCCATATTCACCACCGATACCAACCCCAACCAAAACCCAGCCAAGAACCATCGTGACCCACCAACACTCATCGTCTTCAGCCTCACCGCCGCTGTTCAGTTCCACCGTGGCACATCAATACCCAGACACACAGCCAAGCTTCATCCTCCAAACCACCCCTAACCCCAATCGACATCCATCCACCGTTCCACAAACCCAACAGCCCTCACCTTATCTCTCACACCACCGTCCAGCCAAGATCGCCGACCACAGCCCCCTCATCCCCATCGTCAGAAAACCCAGCCACCTTCAGCCTTCGCCGGAAACACCATCACCAATCTCCCTTACCCATATTCATCCACCGAGAACCACCTCCCTCCTTATTCTTAAATTTTTATTTTTCTTTCACAAAACCCACCCACAAACCGAGCCACAGCCCACATCCCATTTAATTTTATTTATTTATTTTATTTTAATTTTAATTTTTAATTTTTAATTTTTTTATCTTTTATTTTATTTTTATTTTATTTTTTATTTTATTTTTTTCTTCTTTTTTTTATTAATTATTTTTTTTTATTGTTTGATTTCTCTCTTTTATGCGAGGTAAAGTTAAGTGTGAATCTTTACAGTTTGATCCAGAAATCGAGAAGACTGCTAAGAGGAATCAGAAGCAAGCCAGAACAAAGAAGATAGAGGAATCCTCGAGTTCAGTGCCTAAAACCGAACCCGAGATGGCCGCCAATAGTCAACCACCTCCTGCGAAGGAATTGATGGAGTCAATCTTGGCTCCAATGTTTACAAGGCCAAATTCAAGCATCATCCGACCACCAATCAATGCCAATAATTTTGACATTCAGCCAGCACTGATAAACTTGGTTGAGAAAAATTCATTTGGCGGAGAAGACTATGAAGACCCCAATGATTTTATGGACAGATTTCTGAGAATCTGTGATACAACCAAGCATAATGGGGTGTCCGATGATGCAATTAGACTCAGACTATTTCCTTTTGTTGTAACAGGGAAAACTCTGAGATGGTTGGATAGACAAGACCCCAACAGCATCACAACTTGGGATGATTTGGCTGCTAAATTCTTTGCAGAGCACTTCTCTAGGGAGAAATACAACAAATTGGTGAATGAGATCACCAACTTTACTCAACATCTGGGAGAAACTTTATGTGCAACTTGGACCAGGTTCCAAGAATTGATCAGGAAGTGTCCCCAGTACGACTTGCCGGACGGAAAGAAGGCCAGAGTTTTCTATAACGGAATGACGCCGGAATCCAGGATGGTAGTCAATGGTGCAGCCGGTGGGACAATAGCAAAGAAGACAGCAGCTGAAACTTTAGAGCTGATCGACTTCATGGCAAGGGCTGATAACGCATCAATACCAGTTCAACCAGTGCAACCAAGAAGGGGAATCCTGCATTTGGAAAACAATGATGCATCACTTGCAGAACAAAAGATCTTATCTCAACAGATTGCAAGTCTGAATGCCAAGTTGGATAAGTTGCACTTCTCTACAGCTCACGTTGACTCGGTCAACTGTGAGTACTGCCGAGGTGAGCATGATACTAACGTTTGCCCAACATTTGTAGGAACATATGCTTTACAATTCAATGGAATCTGGTACGAACCAAAACCACAGCAGAATTATGAAAGAAACCAGAACAGTGCTCCAGGGAACAACTTCCAAAGGAGAGTGCAAGGAACAGGTTTGGATTACAAATCCAACAACTATATACAACCTCCACCAGTCCCACAAACTCCAATATCTGAACTGGAGAGAGCACTGATACAGTTGACGAAAAATACTGACACATTTATGGAAGAGACCAGGACTCATCATAAAAATCAAGATACTTCAATCAGAAATCTAGAAACACAAATTGGGCAGTTGTCAAGACAATTAGCTGAGAGAAGTCCTGGAACATTCCCTAGTGACACTATAATCAACCCAAGGGAGCACTGCAATGCCATCACTACTAAAAGCGAAGATCTAGAAAAAGTGGAAGCTTCTACAAGGAAGAATGAGCACACTCAAGAAGACAAGGAAGAAGCAAATGAGCAATCTTCTGCAGTTCAAAAGAAGTAATGGGATTTCTCACGTTTTGAGAAACCTCCATATCCCATGGGGAGCAAGCAACATGAGCAAAGGAAGCAAATGTCTAAATTTTTAGATATTTTTAAGAAATTACAAATTAACATTCCTTTTGCAGAAGCTCTGGAGAAAAAGCCTTTGTATGCACAGTTCCTGAAGGAGACATTGTCTAAGAAGCGAAAGCTCACAGAGGACGAACCTGTCACGCTAACAGAGGAGTGCAGTGCAATCCTACAGAAAAACATGCCTCCAAAGTTGAAGGATCCAGGGAGCTTCAGTATTCCGTGCACCATCGGCAAGACGACTATAGAGAAAGTCTTATGCGATCTTGGTGCTAGCATAAATGTGATGCCCCTCACCTTGATGAAGAGGCTGGGAATTGATGAAGTCAAGCCAACGAGGATGAATGTTCAACTGGCCGACCGTTCAACAAAGCAAGCACATGGTATTGTGGAAGATGTGCTCGTCAAGGTAAACAAATTTCTAATTCCTGTTGATTTTGTTATTCTTGACATTGATGAAGATGCCAGTGTGCCTATGATCTTCGGGAGGCCATTCCTAGCAACCTCAGGAGCATTAATCGATGTACCTAAGGGTGACTTGATAATGCGCGTAGATGGAGAGCAAGCAATATTCAAGGTACTTATAAATGAAGCTCTATTGCCTGCATCTCAACCTAAAAACCAAGTTAACTACATTGCGAAGCAAAAGGTTGAGAAAGGGAACAAGAAAGAAGTCCATCAGGGCATGAGGAAAGCAAGCCAAAGGTTAAGATGGAAAAGCCCAAGAGCAAGGAAGAACATGTGAAACCTAAGCTTAAAGTTTCTGAGAAACCTCCTCCTCACCCACGTGCATATGATCCTGAAAAGACACAATATTGGATCAAGAAGACTAGATCATCAATGCTAGCATGCTTTCAACCACCATAATCACAGGGGGTACGTCAGGCTCGTGACATTAAACAAGCGCTAATTGGGAGGCAACCCAATAGTCATTTTTCTATTTTATTCAATTTATCTTTAATGTTTTCTTTTTGCTGTTTTTAGATTATGGTTTGATTATATCCCCTTTTACATGCTGAGTAATGATTATTCTGTTTGATGTTTAACAAGTGTGTGAGTGTTCCACCTGCGCAGAATTAGCTTTACTCGACTAGTTTAGTTGTTGCTGAGGACAACAACGTTCTAAATCTGGAAATTGGTCACATGCTGTATGCGAGACTTGCTAACTGCGGAACTACACAACAGAGAGGACATCTAACATAAATTATTTTTCTGAAAAAGGGGAGATATTTTAACCTTTAATTTTTTTATTTTAGTTTGCTTTTTGCTGTTTTCAATTAATTTGATTCAATTTTTCAGATTTTTAGAAGAAAAAAAATTAATTAAAAAAACCCAAAAATAGTGAATTCCTGAACAAGCGTTCCTAGATTTTACAAAGCTTACTCAGTGATTAAATAGATTGAATTATAAGAAGCATGATAACTATGGAGCATTTAATTATTTTTATAATATGAGGATGATTACTGCTCATTTGTATGACTGTTTTGGTGAAAATTCTTAGATAATGCTTGATGTGAAATTTTGAAATTAGATTCTAGTTTGAATTATAACTGTGAGGATTTGAGCCTAAACAAAAATATTTTTTTCAGAGAGGCCTCACTGTAGTAGTTTTCTAGAACTTGAACTGTTTCTCTGGCTTGCATGCATTACTGACATGATAAAGGCATGTTTATTCTTGTTATCTTAGAGCCAAATAGCCTACCTAAAAGAATTTTCCATTGTTAGCCCTTTTGAGCCTTAGACCAATTTATTCAAAAACCTAATGAAAGTTACTTAACCATGTTCCCATTGACACACCTTGAAAGAGATTGAAATGCTGATCAAAGAAAAAGTCAAGGTACTTCTCAAAAGAAAAGTTAAGTAAGTTGAAAAAGGAAACAGAAAAATGGTCTGCAAAAATGCAGTTCAAAAGAGAAAAGAAAGAAAACATCTGCAAACAAGGAAAGAAAAGAAAAAGGTAGTGAAAAAGGGAATAAGAATACCGAAATGATGAAAAGTGGCAGAATAAAAAAACTGAGAAGAAAGTATTATCAAAAATCTCAGTATTTCAGTCTCTCAAATTAATCAGCCTCTGTCAAAAAGATTCTTACCCCCAAACCAGGCTAAGTTATAACCTACCAAAGACCTTTTGATCAGTTTATGCATGTCAAATGGGTTCCTCAATCTTAGGAATTTGAGGATATGTTCAAGCTTATGGAATTACTGCTACACTGATGGAATAAGTGTGAACCCCTCAAACACTAGAGTGATGAGAGTTATATATTTATCTAGTGAGGAACATTCAAGTTATGATCTAAATTTCTTGATAAAACCGAAAAGCATTGTTTGAAGTTTTTAAAAGAAAGTTATACATGCATAGCAGTCTAATCTCTTAAGATAATTGTGTTTCATGTTTTCTCTCCACAGAATTCATCCTTGTTTATATTTTGATCTAGTACATTGCTGAGGACAACAACGTTTAAATCTGGGAATTGTTTGATGAGTCTCCAATTTACTATGTATTAAGGGTCAATATGAGTGTGAAATTGATTTAAAAGTAATTAAAAAGTATGAGAATTATTTATTAAATTGTTATTTTATTCTCAATAATATTCTTATAAGATTTCTGATATTTTGCAGTAATTTCAACTCAATAAATAGATAATTGGAGATATCAAATAGAGTTGCTTTGAATTTCTGAATCATTGAAGATTTTATCAAATCTTCCTTTAAATATTTTTAAGGAAAGTTTTCCATTAAATTAAAAAGAGGAAGATTTGAAGGATTTGGTCAAAGATATGATTAGAGATTCTAGTGAAGATTCTATTGAATATTTGATCAAGATTTCTAAGCAAGGCATAAACTGTTTTAATCTAGACAAGGGTAGAATAGCAATTTTTGTATAATCTAGACATAGGCTTACATAAATTGCAGACTCATAATTCATTTGCTTAATGCTTAATTCAAGAGGAATTACTAAGACATTAGAATTCTGATTGGGTTAAAGGGTTGAAATCACTAAGACATTAGAGTTCAACTATTTTACAGGGAAATAATGAATTGTCTGAACAAACGAGGTGAGTATTGTGATGATTTTTGTAAAAGATATTTGTTACGTGCGTTGATTTTTGCTTGGGGTCATCCCTTGGGAACGATTGCGTACGTCTCTGATATAACACGTTTTGTTCTGATGTGAGTATTGTGATTATTTTTGTAAAAGATATTTGTTACGTGCATTGATTTTCGCTTGGGGTCATCCCTTGGGAATGACTGCGTTTGTCTTTGATAAGATATGTATATATGCTTTGTTCAGTTATGATAATTGCTTATATGATGTTTTGTATATTATGTATCTGACTGTCATGCAGGAAGTGAGCCCAGGGTATAGAGGGTTTTCCATAAACCTGGAGTTTACTAGAGATTCGTCTCTAACCCCGTTTGGGGATATGATTTCAGGAACACAGTTAATTGAAGAGCCTCAGGGGACAAGAACACTAACCGTGGCTAGAGGTACTAGTATGAGGATGTGGAGTTCTGGGTGGTCGGATGCTACTATTTGTTTTAGACGTATTTTTGGAAAAGATGTATTGTTGCATAGTGTTCATATTCGATACATGTACATTTATGTATTCAAGCATGATGATATGACTATGTAGTATTCAGTTATGTTATGTATTGGATTGCATGCTATTAGATTTGTGGCACGGAGCCAAGTTCAGCATGCGCCCATAGATGGGTATCTGAGTATATTTGCATGACTGGTACTTCTGGAAATATATATTGTTTAAACTGTCTATCAGGAACTCTTGAGAGTGGGATTGGAAAATCCCCAGTTGTCCGATTTACAGAGGTTACTCTGTCCGATTTTCGTCTCCGTAAAATAAGAATTAAATTAGAAGAAGTATGCAATGTGATATGTCATGTGAAAAAGGATTAAAGAAAAAGAAAAAGTTAGTTCGTATTTTCGTAAGTTAAGTCTTCCGCTGTTTCTGTTAAGTATCATATGCATGTTAATTGAACCGGCTCGAGGATGGGGATGTTACATTTATGGTATCAGAGCAGTTGCTCTAGGGAGTTACATGATATATAGCATAAGATATTTGAAGTTGGAAGTTCTTGAGTGTTTTCTTGGAGTGCTGTATAATGCATGTGCGATCACTGAGTGTGAGCGTAGCTAACTCATTCCTTAGTGTAATATATGCAGAGATATGGTTCCTCCAAGGAGAACTCGTAGAACATTTAATAATCATGATCCACCACCGGATCATGTTGTAGCGATTTTGGCTGCCCTACAGCAGACTTAGACTGCAACTAGGCAGAAAGAGCTTGAATTAATAATGAAGCATTCAATTTGACTGTGATAAGGATGAAATTTCGAATTTTCGTCAGAAAAGGAAATTGAATTTACAATCGACTTGTTACCTGGCGTGGGGCCTATCTCTCTTGTCCCATACCGGATGTCACCTCTGGAATTATCTGAATTGAAGAAGCAGATCGAAGAATTGTCTAGTAAGAATTTTATTAGACGGAGTGTATCTCCGTGGAGAGTCCCAGTGATCTTTGTTAAGAAGAAGGACGAGTCTATAAGATTGTGTACAAGTTACCGGTAGTTGAACAAGGTTACTGTCAAGAATAAGTATCCTTTGCCGCGTATAGACGATTTGTTGGATCAGTTGTGTGGTGCGACTATATTTTCTAAGATTGATCTTCAGTCCGGGTATCATCAAATCCGGATAAAGTCGGATGATGTTCCGAAGAAAGCTTTCAGGTCCTGATATGGGCACTACGAGTACCTGGTTATTCCTTTTGGGCTTACGAATGCACCAGCCGTTTTTATGAGTTATATGAATCGGATCTTTAAAGCCTATCTGGATCAATTTGTGGTTGTCTTTATTCATGACATACTGATATATTCAAGGAGCAAAGAAGAGCATTCTGAGCATTTAAAGATTG